CGAGTACAACCGATGATCGCCGAGTACAGTCGAGTATGCTCTCTACACGATCGTACTCGCGCGTCATCAATTGTGAAGAGGAGCCATTAAATGTTGTACCCTTATATTCTATGATTTCATTTTGTAAAAATGGGGTCACCCGTATATTTTGTTTATAAATTAATGATTAAAATGGTTGTACTTGCGGTTGTACCGCAAGTAGATACTAACTTGCTTATTTGAAATAGAAAACCCCTTATATTGGTCTATTTTTGGATTATTCACCCCTCTTGCTTACACATAGTAGGTCTTTCACATTGATTGAACCCTGAAAATTTGTTTGGGAAAAATGAGCATCCCTCCGAAAAAATAATTACGTTCTGTCAATGTCACCTAAAATTACACAAAAAATCCGATAACACCTCGGAGGAAACGTGCCTTGGAATCCATTTCGCTTCCATTGTGTATTGTCACGTTTGTAAATATTTGTTACTACGAGGATGGTTAACAGCAGCACTGATAGATATGCGTACTCACTACAACAGCTGTGCGAGTATTTCCGTTTTTATGAATGAAATGAGAACGTAGTAGTACCATCCGGCTTTGTTATGATTTTCATTGGAAATATTTTAATAGGATTAATTCTCAAGGTGACATTTTCATCTTACCTTGAAGTTGTATGACTAAATAAAATAATATAATACCTCGTCGCATTAGTTAGTACTGAATGAGGTGATGTGAAGGATTAGTTGTTGCGTAGGGAAACGAGCTTTTTCATTTATATAATTATCTTTAGAGCTGTTTGTTTGCTAAATTTGAAAATAAATAATTCATAGACCGTCTACATTTCTTTAAAGTACCTGCAATTCTTCAAGGGACTTCTTTCCCTAAACCATTATTATTTTGTATTTTCGCATTTTCTGATAAAAATATCCCGATTCGGGTATTATTCACAAACGACCCCTTTTAACCAGTCTGCACGTAGGCAGGTCCAAAATTGCGTCAAAAATTGTTAAAACAATTTTATTGAGCAAATTCCAATTTTACTCCGATCAAGTTGCTTTTAGGTTTTTATGAAATTCTGATCAAAAAAGTACCTTAGTAGTTTTCTAAAGTTGATTTAATATGTATTTGAAGACTGTGCAAAACGAAAATTTTGATTTTGCCAGATTTCCTAAATATTCTTCAAAGAAAATTCCAAAGTACCACTTTGTCCTTACTTTGACATGACTTGAATGACAGACCCGAAGATACAACCTGGACTATAAAGGATTAGGTCTAGTACTCGAACCACACTGTATGAACGAAATTTTGGCAGTATGGTAACTAGTTGAGACTCCATATGATGGTGCCTATAGAAAACAATTAGTTCATTTAGATCGCCAGGACGGAGTTTCCCTAACGTAATACACTCGCTGTATAATGGCTTCCAAGTAATATTTGTGATCAGCGTGAAAGAATGTATTTTTATTTGGTTTCAACATATACAGGGTGACTTTGAAGTTGAGTCATTAATTTTCAGATAATGATTGTAGAAGGAAGATAAACCAAAATATGTGTGTAAAAATAAAAAAAAAATTAAAAAAAAATGTTTACCTTGTTTTATAAAGTATCCTCCCGACAAGTATTTCAGTGCGGACCTGTATTTGATCGTGAGGTCCCCTGTGAGGTCTTAAGTCACCTGATTCACGAGCCCGTTGTACTACATTAACAAAGGCACGAGGGGTTGGTTGCACTCGATTGGGAAACCGATCCGCATAAACATGTGCCATTTTTTATTTCGTTTGAGCCACCCAATAGATACCACTATTCACTGACACTGACTGTATACAAATGAATGAAATAATTGTAAAAACATCGTTCCAAATTCTTTCGCTTTTTTGTTTCCGATGCGATGAACCGATACGGCGGATTATATCCGTTGTCGCCAAACACGAGCACATAATATTATTATTGAGACAGGGCGGTACTCAAACTTCCAAAGGGCTATAACTTTGTTACTTTAATTTTACCAGAAAAATGGTAAAGGAAAAAAACATTTCTTTTGATCAGATCTACTCACTGTTAAAATAAATGACTCAACTTCGAAGTCACCCTGTATATGTGTTTTTGAGAGAGACAGTGTTGTTTCAGTACTTTTTATTTCTGATTCCAATATACTGGGTCGGACATTTTGATAATATCTATGCCAATTTTCATAACAGATTCGAAAGCAGAGATCCGAAGACCCGTAGTGAGTAAATTTTCAGACCTTTCTACCCAGTTTCAGGTTTTCGACCAACTTTTTCGGGATTGGCTGCATTGTAAATCGATAGGAGCAGTATTAAAAGAAATGGTTAATTTTTTTCAATTTAATGGGAATGCTTCTTTTCAGCTAAATGTCCCGGCTTTTCTTGAATATTATCTTTGAGACATTATCAAATTATATAATTTTTGAAAATACTTTTTTATCAATCTGCGAACTGTTACATGAACGTTATTTTGAAACACGTCAACGTATTACCAAAAAAATAGTTATATAAAGAGAATGAATAAATTTATATTCCGCCGGTCGGCCCCATTGACCTTGGGGGTCATCTGCTTGTAGTAGGGAAGCCGATCCTAATTTCTTTCACATCATGATACGATAAGAACTAGTAACATCAACTCGGCAGCATTGTTGTTTAGCGTTAAAATACGTAAGATCTTCCATATTTGTAAGCGATGTAACCAAAACTTTGCGGTCGGCTCTTGGACTATTACGGACTTACAAATAAAAACAGCGAACTATCTGCGGACCGACCCTCCGGTATTGCCAAGTTGTTATAAAATATTCATAAAACGCTTCATTTATACTAAACAGAGTGGAGTTCAGCTCTATTCAGGGTTTTTGGTGGTTGCATGAAAAAGTCATACGAAATAAATAAACATATTATCTTAGGCGGTCTAGATGACTAGCGACCGTGTCGAATAAACATACGATTGGTAATTTCAAGCTGACGTACTTATTTAACTAAAAGTTAAATATCTATGTTATAACTTACAGCAGGTTTCGAGAATAGAGTAGCTCGTGAAAAGTCCGATTTATTACTTTATTGAATGAAAAATATATTTCATAAATTGCAAATGGATGATAAATATCCGCTCCATGAATAAATATCCAACCAAAAATAAATTCGAGCAAAAAATGCGTTCACTACAAGGGATGGTCAATGAAAATTCATCTGGCAACAATGCATTTATTTCCAACTAAATGAGAACAGCTGAGATTAGACCTCTTCAGCTGTTTGATATAACTTCTTTTTGTATTGTTGGGGTTTTTCTTTAGACGACGTGTAACGTGAACCAAATCGAAGCCGGTCCTGTCCTATCCCTCGATCACGTCCACAGCGCCAGCGCCAGCGTACAGTTATACGACGTACGACTACGATGTAAATACGGATTTTACGACAGAGCTGTACTTGGAATTTCAATTCAACTGAACAGTGAGTAATTTTTCATTTTTTCTTACTTGTTCGCCCACGTTTCACCACACATTAGCTTTGTTATATCAAGCATAGTTCTGTCTGGGAAACCCATAACTTTGCGGACACCCTATAGAGCATTCAAGAGTGAGAAATATACAGGGTGACTTTGAAGTTGAGTCATTAATTTTCAGATAATGATTGTAGAAGGAAGATAAACCAAAATATGTGTGTAAAAATAAAAAAAAAATAAAAAAAAAATTTTACCTTGTTTTATAAAGTATCCTCCCGACAAGTATTTCAGTGCGGACCTGTATTTGATCGTGAGGTCCCCTGTGAGGTCTTAAGTCACCTGATTCACAAGCCCGTTGTACTACATTAACAAAGGCACGAGGGGTTGGTTGCACTCGATTGGGAAACCTATCCGCATAAACATGTGCCATTTTTTATTTCGTTTGAGCCACGCAACACATACAACTATTCACTGACACTAACTGTATACAAATGAATGAGATACCTGTAAAAACATCGTTCCAAATTCTTTCGCTTTTTTGTTTCCGATGCGATGAACCGATACGGCGGATTATATCCATTGTCGCCAAACACGACCACATAATATTGTTATTGAGACAGGGCGGTACTCAAACTTCCAAAGGGCTATAACTTTGTTACTTTAATTTTACCAGGAAAATGGTAAAGGAAAAAAACATTTCTTTTGATCAGATCTACTCACTGTTAAAATAAATGACTCAACTTCGAAGTCACCCTGTATAAAATGGGTGGGTAAAGTTGTAGGATGTATTCCTATGAACAACTTTGCGCGATTTATGTTATTGAAAGCCAGGATGGAGTATATTAAAAAAATTAACACTGTAATTTTTTATATATTAATTTGCTTCAAATTAATGGAGTTGTAATCCAGAAACTGTCAGTTTTAAATTATTCCCGATTATTTTTTCTTGGAACGGGTATAGTTGACTTTGCTGGCAAAGTTGGCCAACTTTACGGTAATTATTTTTTTGTGAAACTAAAGTATGAGGCCCCAACCGGCCCAGCCAGCGCGGTGGTGTAGTGGTAGATGCTACGAGAGCTGCGCGGGTTCGAATCCTGTTGCAAGACAATTTTTCTTCTAACTATGGATGTTGTGATTGTCTGTAGGTGGTAGACGGTCTCTAACTGTCGAACGCGGAGGTACCACCCGGCGGATATGCGTCTGGAAATACCCTGTACAACCAAGACAATTAAAGTAAGAACTGTCACGATTATATCAAATATATAAAACGCTTCATGCATGGAAAACTATTCTTCGTTCCATCTTGAATTAAACGTTGTAAAATACATGATTCTTCTTCGAATGATCGAAAAACGTTGTTCCAAAGTGGAGCTCCTCCATCTGACCTACACGCTTGCCGATTTGCGTAAATGAACCCCGAAAAAATTAATAGCAAAGTATCGATGACGCGACCTTCCGTCTCTGTCTCTCTTCTTTCCCCTCTCCCCCTCTATAACCCCCCTCTTACTACGCGATCAAGGTGACTCACGACGAGCCGGCTTTCGTTCATTCCTAACTGGTCCTTCGTGCCGGATCCATGAATGAATCAACGAGCGACAGAGTCGGTTCAGTCGAGTGTGCGTGTCGTTCGTCGATTGTTTTTCGTTCGCTGCGGTGTGGCCGACGTGCGCTCCGCTGCTGTCAAGGATATAGCGATTCAGCTGCAATTATTGTAGTTGTAGTGGGTTTTTATAATAGACTACTGATAACAGTGAGGAGTTTCTAGTGATATTTTGTCGTCTGTTTGATGGTTTTTAGGTATGTATTTTTTTTAATGGATTTCACAAAGTCGAGGAGAGTTGAACTCCTTTTGACTTCCAAATTCATAAAATTGTGATTATGCATTATAGCTCAAAAGACGTATGGATCACATTTTTCAGTTGCTACTACTACTTGATATCGAAATCGCTATTAATCCAGTGACTGAGGTGTAAATATAGCTTGTTAAAAAAATATATGTGGTTCAAGTATCCACTGTCTATGGGACAGTTAACCATAGCAGAAGAGAGACCACATCTATTTATTCAGAAAGATACAGGAAAACAATTGTCAAATCTCGAAAAGTTGATTTAAAATAAGAACAAACGACAAACAAAACTTCTACTATTCTCATGTTCTCTATCCTCATAAGGTCAATATGGGAGTAGTCAGAGCACTACTCACGAAATAATTGCTGAATAAAAAAATACAAAAAAAAAAATTAACAATAACGGCAATGAATTCGTGGCATATGAATTTTTCGTCATATATATTGGTCAATTCAACGCATATCTGGTGAGCATATTTCTCATAGGAAATATAAGATCTAAAACTTCTTTCCTTTGACATACAAAGCAATACCAAGGGTCATCCAAATCACGAGCTTCTTCGTACTTGATACCATTAAAGATAACGGCGTACTGAATAAAGCACTCTTCCGCAGATTGTTTTGTACTTGATAGCTGTTTTCTCTACTAGATTTCACATCAAAAATAGTGATTTGCAACTCTTTACTTGGCAAACCCGGTAAAAAAAATGTTTTCGTCAATTGAACCACTGATCTTATCTCCCTAGCCCACTATTAATCAACTCTGCCTAACCCGACTTTGTTTACTTAATTGCGAAATTACAGAAATTAGTATAAACTCAGGATTAAAGCAAGTATTCTAACTAATATGAAGTCATTATTTTACGACTCTATTCTTATTCATGTTTGTAATTTTGAAGCAAGCAATGAGTAGGTATGCTGTGGTCTGCCAATGATCGAAATAGGGGGAAATTCAAGACGATTTGTGCGATGTGGTGCATATCTCCCTTGTTCAAGCCTTCGGGATTTCCCACATCCGAACAAAATTATGGCATTTACGTGTATGGCAACATGGGTTGTGGAAGTAACGTTCGTTAAATGCAGCAGCTGCTGGAGAAAAACTGAGTTTTCTATTTATGGCTAGGAAGTACTCTCCTCCAATCAATCTTCCCACTCAGGTGCCAACTGAGTCTCAGCCTGGAATACTGCGTAAATCTTTGGGTAGATGTTGCCAGAAGCAAAGAGAGGTTCAGAGAAACATACTTCGGCTGGGCTATTACGTAAAAAACATATGAGACGTCAAAAAAAAAAAGAAGAATAAAATGTCAACGTTGCTTATATAGTTCCTACTGTGCAAATAGTACATTCCGCTATGTGCGCTGTCAGCGTCATCAAAAGCGTCCATCTATGGAGGGATGATTCAACGACACGGCACGGCCAAGGCTTTGTTGGTTGCAGAATCCCGAGATAGTCTGTAGAGCATTCTCTGAAAATATAGTATGTGTTGTTGAGTAGCAAGATCACATCTTGATGATTATGTGTATTGGTTTACATGTGTACAAAATTAGTGGTATTTGCTATGTGAGAAAATTATTACGATTATGCTGCCCCTGAAATATATCTATTAGCTGTGCCAGACGGGTTATTTGTGTTGTCCTTTCTGAAGAGATGTTATGCTCAATGTTATACATTACGATTTTCCCTGTTCTTTTTTGCGTTTCCAAAAATTTTGAAAAGCATTACGGGAAATCAGCACTGCACCCGAGTTGTGTGTAATTAAGCCACATCACAGAAAAATTAGGAATGACGCATCACATAGAAAACATTTTCGAACTACCTCATAATATCTATGCGCTGATTTGTATTTTCTACTTGACATCGCAAAATAAGTTTCAATGAAACAAAGGGTAATGTGACATATAATAACTTTTCTACGTTTGATAAATATTCCTGTATGCACCATATTTTCTTACCTGTTAGTTTTAACATACTGCACCAAACAGGGATCTTCTTGTATTATCTCTCTTTTTTGAAATTCGGCAAATTTGCATATGTAATTTCCAGGTTAAATAAGAAAAAGCGGATGCACAACTAATTTTGAGCTTTGCATACATCTCCAGCAAGTGTATTTGAGTCAAGAAACCAATGTAATTATCATCAACACAGATTATTAGTACTCACGTCTTCTCTATGCATCTATGCACTGCCGTTTCCGTCCAGCTATAGTATACAGCTTACAGCTTAGACCTTCAATAACGCCATCTCTGAAGCAGATGTTACATCACATCAGACCCAAAATGACGTTTAGGCAACACGTACAGTTACGGAACAAGTATACAAGTGTACAACAGCTAGTGCTAAGTTGACATCTTGTAGAAAAACCTATAATGTCACATAAAACCTATATAATGTCAAAAAGAAACGTCATAATGTCACTTTTTAAGATACGTAAGAGCCCTGCCGTTGTGAAATTTCCTTAATGAACATTAAACTGCCAGTCTAGTTATTTTTAAAATGTTATATGGTTTATCCGTCTATTACCCATGCCTGACATCTATTAACGCAAAACGTTTGCAGATAATGCAAGGTTTATCGCAATCTTGTATGGCTAAACGCTTATAACCTTTTCAAATACCCCATTCTAAGCTTTACTCACAGGATCGTGCTAACGTCATCCCTTCAATGCCTCAGTTGTAAGCTCGTTTAAAGGGCATCTGAGCATAATCTTCAGGTTCGTAACTGTTACACCTTAACCATGCGAATTCATCGCACAACACTGTTCAGAAAATCTTTTACTTACAATGCAATTTTATCTGAAGAATATCCAGTCTCCCCGGAGTTTTAAAATCCCTTCTTCTTTTTATAGCTGAATCGGAATTACTATTACTTACAGGTTATTTTGTACGGGATTAGATGGTAGAATAACAGGTGCTAAATGTCGCCCCATGTAATGTACCATCAATAAAGACGAGTATTATCATTATATTGCTTTTCCTAGTCCTAGTTTGTCAGTTCGTAACCCTCGCGATACTGATATATAAAAAACGGGATGTGATAGAAAAATTCAAATACTTAGATGGTCTACAGCTATATGAGGTCAAATGTGCCCACTGTTGTATGGGTCCCAGTGGGTAGACTAACGGAATGTAGTTGGACCCACACATATCAAGTGCACCAGATTGTATAGACTCTGTCGAGGTTCCCAGCGCTATATACTTGGTTTTCTTAATATTGCCCAGTGAGTACGGATCAATCAGACATAATATCAAGATGGAGCTTAATTTAAGGGATAAAATGTCGGTTATTAAAGTCAAAATCTACCATTTACATCCAGAACTGGCCGATACGACCGCTCCATTGCCGCTAGGGTATCGAGATTGTAGAATAATCTACTTGATTAAGCTTTCCCCAGTTCTACTAACCTTGGGCTGTTCAAAAATCGGATTAACAAAGCTTTTTAAGCTCCTTAAGAAAATATATAAAAAAATAAAAAAAACATGACTTGTTTGATTTCTGTCACCCCTGGTGCTAGAACAAAGCGATCAAATGATTTGAGAAACGTGTCGAATCTATTTTTTTCCACTTGGTTGTACATTACGACAATGTCAAGTTTCTGATTAAAGCTCACGTATGTTTGGATCTATAAAATTCTATTTATATTACCTTATTTTTTTTGGGTGGCTCGTCAGGCATAATCGGATAACCCAGAAATTTCTAAAATGGCATCAAGTAGGCTGATGTTAGACTATAAAAATCTACTAAATCGCAATGAGGAGATTTACATCAGGTTTTGGAAATATTGGTGTTTTGGCATCGATATTTGCAAAGCAATTTGATCATACACAATTTCAAAGCATTCGACAACCTGTAACCTCTAGTGCGTAACTTGAAGATGTGTGAGAAATACGGACTCAATCTAATCTAATCTATTTAGTCAAACTGCCTATAATTTATTCTTTCTACTTTTATTTTTTTGGGGAAGTACACTATTGATTATTAGAAGAGTGATCGTTGTATTCCGGGAGTGTATGGATTACACATTCACCAAGTATTCATCGGGGACGCACATGTTTCAAATACCATCAAAATCATCATCAGTCAATGACAGCATAATAGGTACATCAAGTTCTGAGAAATACCATATATTATTCAACTCATGGTATACAGAACCGCGAATAGTAAACTTACTAGCGGAAACATTTCTCAGACTCTTCAGCTGTGGTCACTCCGGGCAGAGCGGTCCCCCCAGTTGATGTGATGGCGCGCTTTTCATTGCTTCTTAAAAATAGTGGTCACAGCTACCCACTGCCCCATATGCATCGCGGGAGGTGGGGCGGACATATTCTTCTTTGCACGGCTTTTGGCGGTTACGTTAAGTCATACGAAATAAGTAATACCATTGTCTAATTGTACCATGTGCGTCGCTTAACTTTCCTAAGGGTGCAAGCCGGTCTTTAACGCATCTGCTACTCGCTCTTGCACACACACATAAATTAGGTGATAACCCATTGCTAAGACTCACATTCTGAAAATACTCCATCAAATTCAACACAGATTGTCGACACTATAGTTGGGTCTTCGCACATTGTTTCATATCAGAGAACAAAAGATTATACTCAAATTACACGCCCATGACGAGCAAGTTGTCATATTGACAGTGCCAAACACACACGTGGAAGACTCGTACGTCGTCGAGACAATGCTAAGAAACGTATGCCTGTGAACCTACGCAAACAAACGTCCCCGCATAGAGGCCGATTACATGTGTATGTGTGAGGAAGATGGATATATGAAAGTATATCTTGTGGTCTTACTGTCCTGCCAAAATCCGTGGAAAAGACTAGGCTGTCGTACTTGTAAAGAGCTGTAAAGTGTAACGATGGACATAATGTATATTGCAATATTACACGACTTTATACGATATATAGTCATTTAGGATCATAATTGTTGTCCATGTCTAAAATAAATAACG